ATTATTATATATTCTTAGGATATATATGATATATTATGTGATATATCTTATATATATTATTGCATAAAATACCATATACAATACAAGTTTATCACCAGTGTGTTCTTGTCACTCACCAACTTCTGCTCCTAAGGTGTGTTCAGCTGTCTGACTCCTCTGAAGCTCCTCTGGTGTGGAGACCTGGGATAAATGTATTTCCATGGTGGCAGCTCAGTGCTATTCTTGAGTGCCAAACTGAATGGGGAAATGGTTTAACACTATTGTATTGAATTTTCCTGTCACTTATCTCTTCCTATTGTTCCTCACTATTGTTCTTTCACCATCTCCAACTGTTCCTGTAGCAGAAAGCCCCAAACCCTGTAATTAGATGTGCTTTGCCTAATTCTCCTTTTAACAGTTTGGGGAAAACCAGAGAAAACTGTGTCATGTGTGGTGGAAATGAAGCATCCCTGAGTGCAGAGCCCTGTGTGCTCTTAGTCCGCTGTGAGTCGCTCACAGGAGTTTGTCCTGTAGGTGAAGTGGGATGACAGCAGTTCTCAGGGCAGGGAGCTCAGGAGAACAGGGAATTCACTGCGGCCACAGCTCATGGAATAACAGCAGTGGTCACAGGGTAAGGAGCCTGACACATGGTGTGTGGGGACTCAGGAAAACAGGGAATTCGCTGCGCTCGTAGCTCTTGGAATAACAGCAGTATTTTCAGGGCAGGAAGCCTGGCACGTGGTATGTGTGGATTTAGGAAAACTGGGAATTTCTTGTATCCATAGCTCATTTAGCTGCTGCTTTTTAACAGCTCCTTCATTTTATTTTCCTGTCCCCCAAATTGTTTAATGAGAATTCCTTTTAGTGCCTCTTTACCATGTATTTCTCTTCCTTTCCCCCTGCAGCTTTCTGGGTTTATTACAAATGTAGAAGGAGTTGAAGAGGGAAGGGGTTTGAGAGCAGATGTCCCTTGGCACAGCTCCCTGCCCAGCTGAGGTGGAGGTACCTGCTCACACAGGGATGGGACACTGTGGGGAGACCCAGATCCTGCAGGGCTCAGGAAGAGATTCTCCTCTCTGTTCAGACCTGATTGTTGTGACTGTGTGGAGTCCTGCAGCCTGGTCTGTGCCTGCTTCAGGGGGGAGACACTACTCTAATTCAATCCAAACTCCCCATAACATGGATCAAGCACCAGGAAGGCAAAGTACTGTCCCTGAGAGGATTGCAGGTACCTGTTGCTAAGCCCATTAGAGATGTTGATAACTCCAGGGCTGATACCCAGAACATGCACAGAGCCAAGGAGCTCTCTGCCAGGGGTTTACAGGTGAGCTGAACACCTCCTTGCTGGATAAATACCTCCTCTCCACTGACACACACTCTGTTGTGTTGTCTTTTGTCTCATTAGTATTTGTTTCAATGCTGGAAAAATCAGGCACCTTTCAGGACAGCAGATTTGAAGTGGTGTTTTCATCCCCAGATTGGAATTTCATTAGTGTCAGTCTTCTCTCCATGTGTTACAGTTTAATTCCTTTCTACACACACTGTGTGGCCAATACACAGTGTGGGCACAGCCCCAGGGCAGTGCCTGTGCCCGGTGCTGGCACTCCTGTCGCTCCTCCAGTCCTGAGGACAGCTCTGGGACCCTCACAACAAGACACTGAGGGGCTGAAGCATGTCCAGGGAAGGGAATGGAGCTGGGGAAGGGGCTGGAGAGTAAGTCATAGGGGGCTGAGGGAGCTGGAGGGGCTCAGTCCGGAGAAGAGAAGGCTCAGGGCAAACCTGAGCCTCCTTTGTCAGCTGGTTATAGCTGCAACACCTTTCTGTGACATTAGGTTGAAAAAATGCAGCTGTGTACAGGCTTTGGACTGGTTTTGGAAACCATTGTCAGTGTTTCTCTGTGACTCATCCCAGTGCCACCACTGCCTTTTCCCAAAGAACATACCTGCTGTGACATCACTTGCATGTTAAATGACTTAGAGTGTTTGTTCTGTCTGTGAGCAATCAGACCCACACTCCATGGGCTGCGGAAGGGCAGACACTGATTCCTGTCCCGGTAAGCATAGGGGTTCTTTAAAGACCTGCTTTTTGTCATTACTTCAGCTAGGAAATGCAAATGATGTCCTTAGCAATATTTCTGTGCATTACACCTCAGCTGGATTTCTTGCTACTTCATTTTTGTGCCCCTGATCCATATATGAATTATTTTAAGTACATGAGGAGTTCCCTTCAGACCAGCTCAGGTGTGAGCTCTGCTCAGCTGCAGAAGGCACAGCCCTGGCCCAGAGCAGCAGTGACACTGAGGCACAGTTGTGGCAACACCAGCAGTGCACTGGAAGGCTGGAGATAAATGGAAAAAAACGGGATGCATTCCTGGGAATGGCATTTCCCTCTGCTTTAATAAATATTGCCCTTGCATGAGCCTTCCTGAGGTCTGGTGTGATTCCCAAACTCAGCTGTGGTGAAGCTCCATCTCGGGTACCTTTGTGGTACAGGCTCATGCTCTGTCCTTACCCACACTGAGGACACAGTCTCATGGTTCCTTCTGCTGGGAATACTTGTCAGGGATTTTCATTTATGCTTCATCTCAGATTTAATGTAGAGACTTAAAATGAAGTACAGAGAGGAACAGAGGGTGGAAAGCCCTCCCTGGGCCATCAGCTTGAGCCTTTGGGGCTGGAGACACCACACAGACCTTTTCAGCCTAAAGCACAGAATCAGAGTCATCAGGAGTGGAGGAGACCTCTCAGGTCCTCAAGTCCAACCATTAACCTGTCATTGCTGTAACCACTAAACCATATCCTCCCGCACCAGATCCAGACACCTCTTAGCATGTAGGTTTTTCCTTGCTCCCAGTTGTTTTGGAGGGTTGTGCCAAACATCATTGACCTGATGGTTAGCTGTGTCCAAATGGATTATACCCATTTGCTCCTGTGCCAGTGCTGTGCTCTCACACAAACATCTCCTCCCTGCTCTGGATGAAGCCATGTATGAGGCTCTGGAGCTCAGCACAGCTCTGCCAGCATTACATAATTCCTGAATTCATGATCTGAAGCTTAGTGCATTTCTTCAATGACTAAGTATTCCTGGTTTTTCCTTTTATAGCTTTCCATGTGGTACACATGAAGATGAGGCTGAGGACGCGGAAAGCTTCTCAGCAGTCCAACCAGATCCACACGCAGCGAGCCCTGAGGGCCAAGAGGAAACACTCAGAGGTGGAGGAGAGCCTGCCTGGAGGCGGGGGAAAGCCACAGAAAAATGAGACTGGCCTCTTGTCTTCCATCAAAAAGTTCATCAAAGGAAGCACACCCAAGGTATGGCTGCTCTGGGCTCCTGCTCTGGGTGGGAGTTGGGGCAGAGCCAGTTAAATCGGATTTAAAACAATTTTCACTAGGACTAAATAGTGTGGTGGAGGCAAAATGTAAAGACTTGGAAGGCAACAAGTGCCTGTGAGAGCTGTCAGGCAGAGCAGGCCGAAACCCTTCAGGAGTCACTCTAGGTATAGTTAACAGTCCAGTAAATCACAGGATTTATTCCTTTGTGACAGTGTTGCCTAATAAATTCAGTACATCTTAAAAATGTACTGAATCTGGTTTACAGATCCCTTGAATCCAAACTGGAGGAATTACCAGTGCTGGCATCTAAGAAATCCAGTCTGAAGAATGAATTTGCTGAATATTTTTAGCATTTTTATCCTATATCATTCAGGGGTCAATCAATAAAGGTCAGACCTCAGAATCCAACTGTCATGGAGCTGATCCAGCTGCTCAGGGATTCCTGCAGGAGCTCTGCCCTGCCCACTGCACCAGAGTCACATTTTGTCAGGGAAAGCCACTAAATCTCAGTGTTGATACAGTGTGTGGCCTTGTTGTTTATGCTGATATGTAATTCCATGGACCTTGCCTTGGCTCACATCTTTCAGTGCACTCTGTGACCTCTGTGCTTTAGAGTTCAGAGTTACAGTTTATTAAGCTGCAGTAGGTGCTTTGGGGGGAAAGAGGAAGGAACCTGTCAGAAAAATGTGCAGAGAAATACACAAAACTCTTTGGCTTTCTCTCATTCCTGTGAGTGCTTCAGGAAAGAGCAGTCACTTACTTCCAGGGAAGGAGAGTCCTTGGGTTTGTAACAGCTTAGCTGTGCCCTGAACTATGTGATATGGATTGTCCCACTGGACATGGCTGAGCAGTTCACCTCCTGTGTATTCAACGGGCAGAAAACCCAAGTTTCAGGTCACTTTAGCTACCTTGTCTCTGCATTTCCAACCTTGCAGCCCTGGAGTGTTTATAAACTGGCTGTCCAAGCACCTAAATAAATTTTTATTCCTGCAGTGGCTCCAAGCACATTGTTTTCCCCCCCATACTTTGCTCTTTGCCTCAGGTTGTGTTAGTTTAAACCCATTCCAAATCCCATCTGGCCAGTCACATGTTATATATTCCCATCTGGAAGTGAACAGTCAGTGGATCCTTGGTGAGCTTTCCCTGGGAGCTAACACTCTGGTATGAGAGGAGACAGACACTGCTCAGGGTATTTCTCCTCTCCCCCTTTTCTGCTTTAAGGAAGAAAGAGAAAACCCCACGAAGAGGAGCCGAATCGACCGGGACACAGATGATAACCTGATCACATCCACCCCTCAGACTGGAGAGAAGCCCAACAAACAGCTCTCCCGGGTGCGGCGGAAAAGTCAGATGAATGGAGGTGGGTAAATCGCGATCGTGTATTGCAGTGCTCATCCCCCAGCTCCTGACTGCCCCGGGACAGGCTTCGGTGGGGGAGGCTGCTGGGGGCTGTGCCTGCTTCCAGGGAGAGCTAATCCTGGCAAAACGAGTCTTCAGGGCTGTGAGCAACACTTGCATCACTCCTCACACACATCTATAGTGTCTCTGTAAGGACAGTTTGGATTTGTGATCGGCATCAGCTATTTTGGGACTACTACCAGCATCATCATCATCATCGTCATCATTGTCATCATTTTTATTCTATGATAATTATGGGGTTGAGCTCTTCTCCCATTTTCTCACAAATAAAAGTGAAATTTGTTATTATTATTACCATCATTATTATTAAAAGTCAATGATAATTATGGGATTTAGCTCTTCTCCCATTTTCTCACAAATAGAAGTGAAATACAGCTTCCCAACTTGTGACCTTTGTGAGGGTAACCAGGTGTGCTTTGTACTGGAAGTACTTGTCAAAAACACAGATAGGTTTTCTCATGGAATTGTAGGAAGCTTTGGATGGGAAAGGGCCTCTTAAAGGTCACCTGGAGCAGTGCCCCTGCTCCTCTTCCAGCAGTGTTGATCCAGCTAGGAGTGAGATCTGCCTCAGGAGTGAGATTGTCCAAGCAGGTTTAGGATCTCTCCAAGGATGGAGATTGCCTGTGAAAGTTGTCTCTTCTTGACTATCTCTAATAATGACATGACAACAATGTCACTGACACTTAGAGCATTGGCTGCGGTTCCAGATCTGACTTGAAAACCATTCTTTAAACTTTTTTCTAAGGAAGCTGTGAGGGTGATGAGGCACTGGCACTTGCTGCTCCATCCCTGGGAGTGTTCCAGGCCAGGTTGGATGGAGCTCTGAGCAACCTGGGCTAGTGGAAAGTGTCCCTGCCCATGGCAGGAGGTGGAATGAGGTGGTCTGTGAGGTCCCTTCCCAGCCCAACCCATCCTGTGACCCTGTGGTGTCTGAGGTGCACAGAGAGCACCCTGAGCCCATGTTACTGCTCCAGGGCTAGAAGTTCTTAATTAAAACGTTCCCTATTAGTGAGGGCTTGGAGCTGCAGCTGACACACCCCACGTTCCGTGTAGGAACAGAGGCGTGTGAAGTCCTCCTGCAGCTCCGTCATCTCAGCTGACAGGAAGGTTCTCAGCTCATGTGCACAGAATCCACTTCCGTATGGACAGATGTCTCCGAGCTTGTGAAGGAAAGAATTCTCCTTCATCTCAGCCTCAGAACTGCCTTGGACCTCAGCCATGAGCTCAGAACTCGAGTCCTGGGATGTACATAATTGTACCTGCACAGTTAGGGAAAACCTTTGTGGTTACATGTCAGATTTGTAGTGTGAAGGTTTATTGAATTCTGCTCCCTGTTATCTGTGATAACAACTAAGAGTTATTTTACTCAGAATTTTATCTGTGCACATGTGTGTGTGGCTAACACATTGTGGACTCTCATGTGGTGCAGTTTGCAGGCTCAGCCGTGGAGTTCACTTTTCTCCTGCTTCCATCTAGTGGAGTCGCAGGGACACTGACACCGATGTGCTCAGGAAGGGACCCACAGCTCAGTCTGGCTCCCAGCAGGGATTGAAACTCCTGTCGTTTCTATAAGCAGGGAGTGCTTCCTGATTTGTAGAGTCAAAATGGTGTTGAAAAGGGACGTTTTGGTTATATGTTGGTGCTAAATTGCTGTCTTGTGCACGAAGCTGAGCCCTGACCAGGAAGGATCACTCCCACGGTGCAGATACTGACAGTGCAGGAGAGGATGTGGCTGAAACCCATCAGTGTGGTGTTGTAACTCCTAACCATCCTTTCGCAGAGGCTGGAAGCTACGAGATGACAAACCAACACGTGAAGCAGAATGGGAAGTTGGAAGACAACCCCAGCACCGGCAGCCCTCCCCGGACAACGCTGCTGGGGACCATATTCTCCCCTGTCTTTAACTTCTTTTCACCAGCAAATAAAAATGGTGAGTCTGAGCTGAAAACCCAGTGGTGGTAAAGAGGAGCGGGATAGAGCAGCAGGACACTTGTCATTCCGATTTACAGACCAAGAGCTGGCACAGAAAGGGCTCATTAATTCTTACATGGGTTGATCATTAATTAAAGAAGCAATAAGTTGATAAGCATTAGAAGATTTATTTCATATGTATAAGGATCTAGTGGTGCACCTTCTAGTAAAAAAAGGTAAGGAGAAGAACAAAAAAAGGATGAAATTCCTTGTCCCAAACACATTTTAAAGGTATTTGTCGTGGTCTTGGTTTTGGTTCTTATTGTTGTGATGGGAATCAGTGCAGATACCTTTGATTATTGTGAAACTCTGTCAGTGACTGTCAGTACTGTGACAGGGAACTCAGCTGAAAGGTCATGAGTGTTCCAAACTCTTCCTCAGGGACATCAGGCTCAGACTCTCCAGGCCAAGCTGTAGAAGCTGAAGAAATCGTGAAGCAGCTTGACATGGACCAGGTGGATGAGATCACCACGAGCACAGCCACGTCCACCAACGGCGCTGCGTACAGCTCCCAGGCTGTGCAGGTCAGGGCCCTCAACAACGGCCTGGCCGAGGTGGAGGAGCCAACTGACAGGGACCTGCCACCCCTCACAGGTAAGAGAGCACTGCTGCCTGCCCTGGGTATGCTGAAGGGTGTGGGACTGGTGCCCTGAGCTCTCTGAGGGGTATGGAACTGGTGCCCAGAGCTCTCTGAAGGGTATGGAACTGGTGCCCTGAGCTCTCTGAGGGGTATGGAACTGGTGCCCAGAGCTCTCTGAAGGGTATGGAACTGGTGCCCTGAGCTCTCTGAGGGGTATGGAACTGGTGCCCAGAGCTCTGTGAAGGGTATGGAACTGGTGCTCAGCGCTCTCTGAAGGGTCTGGAACTGGTGCTTACAGCTCACTGAAGGGTCTGGAACTGGTGCCTAGAGGGCTCTCTAAAGGGTGTAACCTGTGCCCAGGGCTCTCTGGGGGGTGTTGGTGCGCCTAGGGAAATCCCTGCAGCTGCACTCTGTATAAATTCCTATTCCAGCTTTCCTCAGGGTGTGCAGTGTTAGTATTGGGTTTTATGGTGAGTAGACAAATCTGGTTTATGCACCAAAGACACAGTTTAGGCAGGTCTTATCCCCAGTACAACTCAGTCTCATAACACTTCTACACATGGAAACAGAGATTCCAGAAGAAAGGCATTTTTATTAACGTTGAACACGTTATTGATATTGAACATGGACACTCCGGACGTGCTGCTTACAACAAAGAAATCTGCAGCATTTGGATTCATTAGAACCACATGGTGAAGGAGAAACACAGATCCTGCACTTGTTTTCCGTGTTTTCTGCAAAAGACTCAACATACACCTTTTGGTGCCCAAAAAATATCCATAAAACTCAGCTTCTGTGGGGATGTGCAACATCAAACCCTTAGCGGTTCCCTAACCCTGCAAGCTTTGGTAGATAAGTAGTTTTGGAAGGCTCTTTGCAGGGAGGGAACTGTGACCTCTGACAGAGGTGATGTGTGACCCCAGACCCAGGGAGGGCAGGTGGGGCTGGAGCACAGTGTTCCCTGCTGGCTTTCCCTGGTGTCAGGTGAAGAAGTGCACTAATAAGACCTAGCTCCAGTGGGGTTTAGTGTTACTGTTGTTTTGGTTGCATTTCAGCACCAGTATCTCCAGACAGTGGTTACTCATCAGCACACGCAGAAGCCACCTATGAGGAGGACTGGGAAGTCTTTGATCCGTAAGTGCCAGCAATGTCTGGGCTGAAAACAGTGAATTGATCATTTGGGGTGTTGGGTTAAGACACTTATTTAAGTTGGGTCATTTTATGTTATGAGAATGAAATCCAGAAGTTTTTAGCTTAGAAAAATATGTGTATATTGTTGTGGGGTTTATTCAGTTTAAGATGCTTATTTCCTGTGCAGCCTTAAATCAAATATGAAGCTGGGCTACAACATTACAGCTCAATAATGTACATTTTACAGCAAAAATCTCTGTCCCTTGCAGATACTATTTCATCAAACACGTGCCCCCACTGACAGAAGAGCAGCTGAACAGGAAACCAGCTCTCCCACTCAAAACCAGAAGCACACCAGAGTTCTCATTAGTCCTAGACCTGGTAAGTAGCTCTACAAACACACACCAAAGCATTGCCATTATTTGGGTTGCTGTGGAAATTAGCCATGTTTGCTTTGAACAAAACCACTATTGAATATTACATAATTTCTAGCTAAAAACACTAAAAATAGTTAATGAAGAATGAACAGTGGCAGGCATAGAATCACTTGTGTATTTGTCAAATACTTACATCCTGCTCTTAAAAAAAAGCATTAGCAGTTTTTATCATCTCAAACAAAGAGTTTTCTGTCCCCTGAAACTTCCCTAAATCCAGTGTGGGAAAAATGTCATGGAATAAACAGGAGGATTCAGCTTTGTGTGTCTTGCATCGATTGATGGAGAATGAAACTTGTAATTCTTAGAACATTCTTATTCTTGCAGGCACAAATCCACTTTTCAGGTACTCATAGAAGATATATTTGTCTTGGTAATAATTTGTTTTGGTGTCTGGTTTGAAAGTGTTTCAGCCCCTGTTAATGGTGTCAGGACTCAGTTTATCATGAGCAGCATCAGTTGGTTTGTCCTCTGTGATCATGTGAATGGGGAGATTGTCCACCCTGAGAGATCAGGTTGGAGCTGAAGGAGAGGATTACAATATCTTCTTACAATTACACTCCTAACACACCATTTCAAGTGAAACCTTCTAAAACCTTCAAGAATAATGAAATGTTTCATTCATTCTAAGAATTCTTCCTCACTCTTGGCAGCACTTGCACAAAAGTACACTTTTTCCAGACTAAATAAATCTGCCTTAAAGTGAACAGAAAACTCCTATTTTCAACATTCTTTCACAATTTTTTCTTTGTTTTCTATCACATTTAATAGGATGAAACATTAGTGCACTGTAGTCTAAATGAATTAGAAGATGCTGCACTCACTTTCCCAGTTCTTTTTCAAGATGTCATTTACCAGGTAAGTAGAAATAATGCAAACCTTCTTGTTTCACATGGGCATCCTTGCTGTGTGCATTTGGTGTTGTGAAAGGAAAGAGAAGCAGCTGTGTGGCATTTTACACCTCTCTGGAGGTGAACTCTCTGGAGGGGTCAAGGTTGGCAAGGAGTTTTGTTCAGCTGTTCCCATTTTCTTCCCCTCTGCTCACTTGGTTATGTCCACCTGCAAACCTGATACAACTCAGTTCATGTACTACAAGTCCTTGTGGAGATTTACTGTGATTTTCAGGGAAATTCAGGCCTAAGTTCATGTACTACTAATCCTTGTGGAGGTTTACTGTGATTTGAGGAAAATTTAAGCCTATTCCTGATGGGCTGTTAAAAATACTGATAAAGCTGAACTCACCCTGAAATGAGAAGCGGCTCAGTTTCCTCCCTTCCCTCCCTGGATAGCTCTCTCAAAGATCTGGTTCTGTGTGGGCAATCTCTGAACCAGAAATAACTGAGCAGAGCTTGGGGCTGCTGTTTATGCCCCTCACTTGTGTTGTCACTGCTGGCTCAGGTCACACCCAGCACCACAAACAGAGCTGAGTGCTGACCCACAGGGACAGAGCAGAGCTGGGGATGTGCCCGCACACCTGCCAGGTGCTGGGCAGTGCCCTAGGGCTGCAGGGTCATGCAGGTGCTCCATGTGAGCCCAAACCTGGGAGTTCAGTCAGAGAGAGGCACAAGTCTCCTGACTTGGTGTCCTCTATAAGTCTACACTTGTTCGGGGCATGATTTCTCTGTGCAGTTCTGTGCTGGTGGTGTTTGGGTTTGTGGAAATCTGGGGACAACTGAAGCCTTTTTCAATCCCTTCTGACCCCTCAGGTTCAGTTTGTAGTTGTTAGTGGTTATTAGATGATTTAGTTCATGTGCTGCACACAAGGTCCAGTGATTGAACTGGTGAGAGCCAGTCCAGGATGTCCAGTCACAGCAACCAGATTTGTTTTTTCTTTACAGATTGTCCAATTTGTGTGTATTTGATTGAAATTAGTTCAAATTCCATCCAATTTTCCAGTGAATTATGCCCAATGTTACCATCCTAGACCTTCCCTTATAGCTGCTGAGGCTGTGAGATGATAGTGCTGTCACTGGGCTGGTTTTAGTACATAACGAGTTGATATTTGCTGTTGATTTATAGTGCTGATCTGTACAAAGTGGTGCTTGGTGGTGTGGGTGGTAGCTGAGGGATGTGGATGCTCACTAAATCCATCTCTGCTCCAGGTGTATGTCCGGCTAAGGCCATTCTTCCGAGAGTTCCTGGAACGTATGTCTCAGATTTATGAGGTAAAACAATCAGATACTCCCTTTGAACTTCAGTTTTTGGTTATAGCCACATATTTGTGTCTCAAATAATGACTTTTTTTCCCCTCCAATCCCTAGATTATTCTGTTTACTGCTTCTAAGAAGGTGTATGCAGACAAGTTATTAAACATCCTGGACCCCAAAAAGCAACTGGTCAGGTAAAAGTGGAGCATTGTGCATGTACCTGCTGTCAGCAGACTGACAGGAGGGACAGTGGCCTGGTCATTATTGCAGCATTTCACTGAGTCTTCATGGGTTTGTCTGGCCTGAGAGAGAGAAAGAAAAATGAAATGGTGGAGTTACTGCCTTGGTGATGGCTAAACCCAGGCAGCTGCAAACACTCCCTGTTCATTCCCTGTTGGGCTGGATCGTGGGAAATGACCTCCTGGGGGTCAGAAATGTGCTTTGAGATACACATTGTCAACAAAGGAAATGGACTGATTGTCAGATGACTTTGAAACTAATCAAATTCAACTTATTATGTAAATTATGCCTTGTATAGTTACCTTCCCAATTAGGGTGCTGTGCGTGCTTATTCGGTCACAAAATTAAGTTGTTCGTGGGGGTTGTGTTAGAGCTGGTTTGATTTTTCAGTTCCTAAGCATCATTTCCTGAGCATTGTTGGAAAGTGATTGGCTTTTCCAGTTCCTTAAGGTATAAAGAACTTTGCCAGATGAGTTCTCTCTGTCACTCTCCCTGGAAAGGGCACTGTTCCCTGGGGAAGTTGAACCCAAAGTGGTGTCTGTGCAAGGATTCCCCTGTGTAGGGTGTCCCAGGTCAGGGAAGCAAATCCTTCCCTGGTGGTGGTCAGAGCTGTGTGATTCTGTGCCTGACATCCCTGCAGGGCCCTTGCCTGCACTGTATATTCTGCAGTTGGACTGGATTTCCTTGACACACACCAGAAAACGCAGTGGGTTTACCCGTTGTTTCCCATCAGTGGTTTGGGCACATCCTCACTCCTTTTCCTGAAGTGCAGAAAAATAAACTGTCATTGGTTTTAGCCAGGAACAGTTATGTTATTGCTTGGTTTATGTGGCACCCACACACACACAGAGTCCCCGTTTGGGCTTGGGAACTTCCTTCCCACTGCATAAGCTAGGTTTGGGTATATTTTCAGTCCCTGGGGTGGCTGAGCCTGGCTGTGTTGCCCAGCCCAACAGGATGGTGGACAGGGAGGCGTCGGCTCTTACGGAACATGAGTCTGGGTGAGCATCCAGGGCGTTAAAGCCTCTTTCCAGGCACTGATCCGTAGGACTCATGGCTGTGATTGGAACTGTGTTAGGACAGGGAAAAGCCCATAAAACACAGAGCAGACAGGGTTCTGGGAATCTGCAGGGATCTCCCTGTTGGAGCTGTGACGATGTGTGGCCGAGTGCTGACAGCAGCCCCAGGAGCAGAGCCACCAGCCCCAAGGCCCTGCCAGGCCCTCGCACGTCTGACTCACTCTCTATATATAAATGCTGAGGCAGCAGCTCATTCCCTCCATGGCAACGTTGGGAGCTCAGCTCCTGCCTGGATCTGAGCACACTCTGTACAGCCCCTGGAAACTCCATTTGAAAGTACAAGCAGCATGGAAGGGACTGTGCTGCACTGGGGCTGGGCAGCCCCAAATCTCCCTGGTTTACAGCTT